ACCAGTTTATTCTGTTCATCAGATTTTTTATTCACTTGATTTTTAGATTCACTTGTTGATAGATATGTATTTGCTGTTCATAATTTGTATCTTTACCTTTTTATTCTTCTTCCTCTTCTTAAAGAATACCTTTCAGCATTTCATATAATACTGGTTTGGTGGTGATGAACTCCTTTAGCTTTTTCTTATCTGTGAAGCTCTTTATCTGACCTTCAATTCTGAATGATAGCTTTGCTGGGTAAAGTAATCTTGGTTGTAGGTTCTTGCTATTCATCACTTTGAATATTTCTTGCCACCTTCTTCTGGCCTGCATAGTTTCTATTGAGAAATCAGCTGACAGTCGTATGGGTACTCCCTTGTAGGTAACTGTTTTTCTCTTGCTGCTTTTAATATTCTCTCTTTGTCTTTTGCTCTTGGCATTTTAATTATGATGTATCTTGGTGTGGTCCTCTTTGGATTCCTTTTGTTTGGGGATCTCTGCGCTTCCTGGACTTGTAAGTCTATTTCTTTCACCAGATAGGGGAAGTTTTCTGTCATTATTTCTTCAAACAGGTTTTCAATATCTTGCTCTTTCTCTTCTTCTGGCACTCCGATAATTCGGATGTTGGTACGCTTGAAGTTGTCCCAGAGGCTCCTTACACTATCTTCATATTTTTGGATTCTTTTTTCTTTTTGTTTTTCCGGTTGGGTGTTTTTTGCTTCTTCGTATTTCAAATCTTTGACTTGATTCTTGCGATCCTCTAGTCTGCTGTTGGAACTCTGTATAATATTCTTTATTTCAGTCAGTATATGCTTAATCTCTAGTTGGTCCTTTTTCATATCCTCGAGGGTCTCACTAGATTTATTGAGGGTCTCACTAAATTTATCGGCGGTTTCTAGAAAATTCTTGAAAAACCTTATAAGTGTGGTTTTGAACTCGATATCCAGTAGTTTGCTTTCCTCCATTTCTGTCATTTGTGACCTGTTTCTTTGTCTCCGCATTTTTTATGCTTCCCTGTGCTGATAGAGTGGCTTTCTGTGCTAGGTGTCCTATAGGGCCCAGTGGCTCAGCCTCCCCAATTACCTGAGGTAGACACTGTTGGTGCACCCCTTTGTGGGCTTTGTGCACAGTCTTGTTGAGTTAAGCCTTGATTGTTACTGGTATCAGTGGAAGGAATTGACCTCCAGGCCAATTGGCTGTGAGATTCAGCTGTGTCCACGGTGGGAGAACTTCTGTGCTGGAGACACCCTTATGGGGCAAGACTTGCTTCAGTGGGGCTTTGGTGCTCACTGAGTCTGCCCCCTGAGTGTGTCCCTTATGGATTTGAGGACTTGTAATCTGGATGGTCCCACTCTGACCATTGGGTACACTGGCTCTTGGATCTCTAAGGAGGTGCTAATTTAGCCTCTGCCTGAGGCTACCCAGCAGGAGCTATGGAGAGATCTGCAGATTCCTCTTCTTTGTTTGGGGTTTGGAGGTGCCCAGATGAGGCCCAGCTGTGAAGCAATGCAAGCTGCTGTGGGGCCTTGGGCCTTCTTTTGGATGTTCTGGGTCTCTCTGACCCAGCTGCAGTTTGGTAGGTAATTTTAGATTGCAAAGGGCCAGACCATTCATATGCAAAAGCTTCTGCGCACAGCTTGGGTGGGGTGAAGTCTCAGGGAATCAACAGGGCGGAGCAAATAGCTATGGCTTATCCTCAGCCCTTCCCTAAGAGGCCCTGGGTCTCAGTGTCCCGTGGTAATCACTGCAAGCACCTCTGAGAGAAAGCCGCCCTCGAGTTCTGCCTGATGCCAGACAGTCCAGTTTCTCCCCGTATGAGTCTGGGTCCCTAGAGACTTGCCCGGAACTGGAGTTCAGAGCAGTAGGGAGCTTGTGTCTCCCTCCTGATTGAAAAAGACAACCACGTTCTCAGTGTGCTGGGCTGCATATCGGGTGCTTTGGCCAGGCGGGGCACTCTGTGTTCTCTGTTCCTAAAACACATAGATAGGAATGTCCTGGCGCTTCGGCCAGGTGGGGCACGCTGTGCTCTCTGTTCCTAGAACACATAGATAGGAAGGTAGTCACTGTACTGATGCTGTACTGTGTCGGGAACAAATTGTGTAAACAAGGCTTTGTAACTAACTTTGTAGTTTTTGCAAATAAAAACGCTATAACTCCTGTAGTCGGAACTGCTTCGGCAGGGTACTGTAACTGTAGTCGCTGGCCAGCTTAATAAAGGCTCCTAAATCTTGATCTGAGTCCCTGGTGGTTGTCTCCACGGGTCGCCCCATTACATTTGGAGGCCCCAGTGCGATCCACTCCAGCCAAGTTGCTGGTGGACACCCCAGACGCCCCAGGAGAGGACATTCCAGTCTCTGTCCCGGGTCCCAGGGAGGCGGAGTGTTTTCCTCCCAAAACTGCAATCCGAAAATGACGAGCCACCTGGACCTCCAGCGGGGAGGTAAGAAGCTGGTATCTGTCTGTGGAACGTTCCCTTTAGGACTCAAAAGAGAGCTGGACGCAGCGGAACCTCGGAGTCCGACTGCCCGGATGCAACGGCGTCTGGGTGTCCTGGTCTGGGCAACCTTAGGTTGCATTTGTCTGGTGTGTTTTGTCTTTGTTCTTTGTTGTCTTTGTCTTTGTCAAAATGGGTCAGGGTCAGTTGTCTTCGTTGACCCCCTTACAATGTTTTCTTGAGAATTTTCAGGACTTCAAGAGACGCGGAGAGGACTACGCCACCCCCGTTAATTATTCAGGCCCACTCCAAGTGAGTGGAAGGGGAGTGTGATCACCTCCTTGGAAGTCAACGACTTCCTCAGGCAAATTAATCAGGAATCAGGTGGACTGTTTAAACTCTGGGTAAATATCTGGTAGAAGTCAAAAACTCGGACTATCTGGTGTATGAATGTAAGTGTGAGAGTCTGTGTGAAGCGAAAGCTACTTTGTGCTGTCTGGCTGTACACATCAGAGTATTTGTTCTGTTGTTTAATTTGTTTAAAGATAGGGCAAACCCTGCTTTAGAGGGAAGACAGTAGAGAACTTTTAATTGCTTTTCCCTGATGTATAATTTTGCTCTGTTAGGTTAAAATTTT